AATAACTCGAAAACAGACAAAGCTGGAGGGATGCGCCTTTCACCAGTCGAAAGAAGAGCGTATGCAGCATCTTTCCGTAAGCGAAAAGTTAGCATTTCAAAAACAGATTTTTAACAGATCTTTGGAAAACTTCTGTATAAGTCGAAAATCTACAACAGCAAACGATTGATATTTTTCCATCAGTAGATAAAGAAAAGTGTTTTCTATAAAATGAGATCTGAGATGGAAGTTTAAAGGCTGAGTTTTTCCAGAAATGAGGTTTTAATGTCTGAACTCTTTTACTATAAAAATGCTATAACTCGGCTATTTTTAATTCAACTACTTCAGACTCTAAGATAAGACTTAAGTCTGATAGTCAGTGACGGCCACATCATCAAATTTTAACTATTTTTAACAATTTTATCTCAGCTTTTTCAGGAGATCTCTAGAAATCCCATTCTTCGCTTTGACTTCCAACTGTCTTTTTTCACATCGAGATGTCAAGGACATCTCGTCTCAAGTCTTTTCTTATAGTTTGAAACATATTGAATTAAAAATAGCCGAGTTATAACATTTTTATAAGAGTCCAGGCGCCAAAACCTCATTTTTTAAAAAAATTCATCCTTTGAACTTCCATCCATGTCATTCATTGATTCCAGATTTGAGAATTTACTGTTGTTTTGTAGTTCGTTTGTGTGTGTTTATGTTTTAAAATAATAAAACGTTCAATTTTAGAATTAATAGTTGTTTAGTTATATATATTCTTATTTAAGGTTTGGTGTCAGTGTTAACGCAATTAACCCAAGAGTTACTATCTTATTCAACATCTGATCGTAATGCACCATTGTTAGAATTACTCCAATTATTAGACCGTGATTTAACATATGTATCAGACATTGTTAAAAAAGCATTACAAGTAAGACATAATTTTATCTGTAATTTCTTCAATATTCTCTGATAAATTTTTGAAGGTTAAAAAAACGGGTACAGGTGATCCTGAATTACTAACAAATGCTGAAAAATTATTACAAATTCATAAACCATGCGTAACTTTAGTTGGTCCATTGATTACACTGGTTAGTAGTAGCTCATTGAACTTCTTGAACAAATTACGCTTATTTATTCTTTTAATTCAGCTACCAAATGAAGATGTATCATTGGCAAATATGGCTTCGCATAATTTATCATTACTCACACAATTAATAGGTTCAGAAGGAAAGGAAATATTGAACAGAAATTATTGTCTCATATTTAGGTAGATTAAAATAACTTTAAAATATTCTTAAATTTACAACTTAATCTCTTGTTTTAGTACCGTATTAAAATCAGCCGATTCGTCAAAACAAAAAATTTTATTACGCTCATTAAAACGTTTAATAACAGCAGATAAGAGAAATTTAGAAGTAGCTAGAGCGTGCAATGATGAACTATTAGATTCATTGAATAAAATTAAAAAATCAGCAGCGTATGTTTTAAATTAGACAAATAAAAATATCATTTTTTTTATAAAGAATAATATTTCTTTTTATATTTTTAGAATTGAGGCTGATGTTGGTTTAGTTGGTCATATTGATGAACTTTTACAATTATTTGGATAATAAATTTTTTATTTTTTCATCTTTTTATAATGTTGATACAATCAAACACGGGCATCCGCTGATAAAATGTGAACTAATCCATTTTTTTGTATTCATATTTCAGTCAGCTTCATCTATACAGTATATCTTAATTGTGTCTCTCTTTGATTGTTAGTCAGTGTACATATAGTTTGTGGTTTCATTTTTTTTTGTTTTTACCATACATAAATTGATTAAATGCTTTTTGACAGATTACTCTGGTTCTTATTTCATCTTTTAGTAAATTTAAAATATTGTATGTATTATTAGTTGATTAACTGAAAGTTGTTTTAATATGTCAAAAAAATGTTTATTTTTTATTTTATTATTTATGTGTATAATTTCCTTATTTAAATTTTATTTCATTTTTTTTGTCAAAAATCAGGACCTTTTTTTTTAACAACAATTTTTTAAAAATACTTTTAAAATAAATTAAAT